TTGAACAGGAGTTAGCAGCGTATTGCCACGAGCGTCATCGTCGAGTAAACGTTTATTATCGCTTTGTTTACACCAGTGAGGTGATCTTTGTGTATGGTGGAGGAGGGGAGGGGAGTTTTGTACCATTTATTTGTTGTGTTTGATATTTGCGCCTTTATTGAGTATGTGTTTGTAATACAATAGGAGAGCAAATCAATAAAGGTCGGTTGCCTCCACCCATGGCCGCCACCAGGCAACACCCGCCGCCGAGTACGACAACCCGTGGAAATTTCCACCACCAGTTGGCTCCGCCCTGCCGGGAAACTGGAACAGTTAAATCAGAATATTGAATGTATTTATCAAATCTTTCTCTCTGGTGGTGAATGTGCAAATGTTTAAATCAGGGTAATTATTATAGTTTGGTCATTCTAATGCTTATTGCACTACCTATTCCCCGCCACCTCTGCAACTGGTCGATTGCCAAATAGGGCGGGGTTTTCCCAATGTCTCGCCAGCTATTGGCTGGAGTCTGAGGAGCTTAGCCAATACCGTGCATCTACCTGGGGAGCGCGAACACCATTGGTCAACTTTCGCATGACGTTATGCTGCAAGTTACCGCCCCTATGCGCCGCCTTGGTGGCTGGGTCGACCACTGAGCTGGCCATATATCCAAGTATTCCACCTCCTCTGTTGCTCTCTCTCTCTGTGGTCTAATTAAGCAGAGAACCGGGCACAGGCAAACCACTACTCACATTAACATGGCACCAATTTCTTGTGGTGACATATTACACCATCATGTCTCTAATAAACGCTGGCCGAACCACTGCATGATGGCGGCCTCCTGGAGGGAAGCGGGGCACCGGTTACCTCATTTTCAACATTTATACTGCTCAAAATTTTTGCTCTTTCCAATACCATTATAAATAATAATACACTCACCACATTCTCCTGCTATTATATACCCATTTTCTTACAACTTTCTCTATTTTCAAGATTTTAGATACCAGAGTGTTCCAGAGTATTATTGAGTAACGGACATGTTACCATTTAATATAACCATAGAATATCTGATATATTATCATGAGGGTCAAGAAGTGTTAGTTGGATGTCGAGCGATATATTTAGAAGAGTGCATGTCAGCGGTACACAGAGGACAGCTGGACGGTGGTAGTGTTGGAACCTACGGAGATGACCAACCAGGTTTCACTATATCTACTTATAATTATTATTAATCTTGTGCTACTACTACTACTACTAGTATTATTACTATTACTATTATTATTATTATTATTATTATTATTATTATTATTATTATTATTATTATTATTATTATTATTATTATTATTATTATTATTATTATTATTATTAGATTATTATTATTATTACTATTTTAATACGGCTTCCAACCTCCTAGCCATACCCTCTCCACACATGTTATTATCAACCTATCCTAACACAAAAGTGACTACCCTAGCTGAGTTAGTTGTGCCACAGATCTCTGCGTCATTCAGTGATTGTTGCTTCACAGTCCATGTCTGTGACTGTTGCTGGCTTTGGGGCCGATGATCTCGTTCCCTTGAGGCAAAGCAAAGAAGACCTAAGCAGAGAGAAGGACAGTCGGCATTTCAACCAAGTTGCAACGTGGTTTCTGAGCTGCTGCTTCTGTTCAGATAACACCTCGGCTAGTCATGCGTAGAATCATCTTGCACTAGGTCCCATCCCGCCAGAGGTTGTGAACTACTACTACTACTACTACTTTACTAATACTACTACTATGCTACTAAAAAACTACTGCTACTACTACTACTACTACTACTACTACTACTTTTTTTTAGAATATGGCCTCCAACCTTCCCTTATACCTTCTCCACACACTTTACTACCTAAATATCCTAATACAAAACTATCTACCACAGATCTATGCGTCACTACTAATATACAAGTTATGAACAATCTAACTTAAAGACCTTGTTTTGTGAGGTCGTGGGTAGTTAGTGTGGTTTGGCCTGGCTGTTAGGAGAAGAGGATGTGGAGAGGGAAGGAGGGGACAGGAGAAGAGAAAGGAGGAGGAGAGGAATGGAGGAGAAGAAAAGCAGGAATGAGAGGAGGAAGAAGAAAAGAAAATATGGAATGAAGAAGAAGAGGGGGAAAAGAAAATGAAAAAGAGAATGGGAGGAGAAGGAGGAGGAGGAGCAGGAAATAAAAGAGGTAAGGGGAGATGGAGGGAGAAGAGAAATGGCAGGAGGATAAGGAGGGTGGAAGGAAGAGGAGGAGAAGATAGAGGGCACGAGAGGAAGGGAAGGGCTGAGAATGGAAGGAGTCAAAGGAGAAGGATGGAGAGATGAAGAAAAAGAGGAGAGAGAGAGGGAGGGAGGGAGGGAGGGAGGGAGGGAGGCAGGGTGTCACCACTTACATAACCATGCCAACCCGGAACCTACCATTTCCGCCTCCCTCCCTCCCTCCCTCACCGAGTTGCTGCCAGTGCTGCCATCTTGCACCGCCCTCCTTCTCCCCCTTCCCCCTTAAAACTATTCAATCCCCCCACTCTTCCTTCCCTCCCCTAACCTCTCTTCTTCCCTCTCCTAGATGATCCTGCTGCCATCTTGCGCCGCCCTCCACCCCTCCCCTCAACCCCCTTCCCTTGCCCTCCCCCCCTTACCTCTTCCCCTGCCCACATCAGTTCGCCATTTTCTCTTGATTTTTACCGATTGGAATGTGGTACAATGTTGAATCTAGGACAGTGATGGGTTTGGTACAGTGTTAGTCTGGTACAATGTTGGGTCTGGTGCAATGTTGGGTCTGGTACAATGTTGGGTTTGGTGCAATGTTGTGTCTAGTACAATGTTGGGTCTGGTACAATGTTGGGTCTGGTACAATGTTGGTCTAGTACAATGTTGGGTCTAGTACAATGGTGCAATGTTGAGTCTGGTGCAATGTTGGGTCTAGTACAATGTTGGGTCTGGTGCAATGTTGGGTCTGGTACAATGTTGGGTCTGGTACAATGTTGGGTCTGGTACAATGTTGGGTCTGGTACAATCTGGTACAATGTTGGGTGTGGTACAATGTTGGGTCTAGTACAATGTTGGGTTTGGTACAATGTTGGGTATGGTGCAATGTTGGGTCTGGTGCAATGTTGGATCTGGTACAATGTTGGGTCTGATGCAATGTTGGGTCTGGTACAATGTTGGTCTAGTACAATGTTGGGTCTGTGCAATGTTGGGTCTGGTGCAATGTTGGGTCTGGTGCAATGTTGGGTCTGGTGCAATGTTGGGTCTGGTACAATGTTGGGTCTGCTACAATGTTGGTCTAGTACAATGTTGGGGGTGGGTCTGGTGCAATGTTGGGTCTGGTGCAATGTTGGGTCTGGTGCAATGTTGGGTCTGATACAATGTTGGTCTAGTACAATGTTGGGTCTGCAATGTTGGGTCTGGTGCAATGTTGGGTCTGGTACAATGTTGGGTCTGGTACAATGTTGGTCTAGTATAATGTTGGGTCTGTTGCAATGTTGGGTCTGGTAATGTTGGGTCTGGCACAATGTTGGGTCTGGGTCTGGTACAATGTTGGGTCTGGTGCAATGTTGGGTCTGGTACAATGTTGGGTCTGGTACAATGTTGGGTCAATGTTGGGTCTGGTACAATGTTGGCCTAGTACAATGTTGGTCTAGTACAATGTTGGGTTTGGTACAATGTTGGGTCTGGTACAATGTTGGATCTGGTACAATGTTGGCCTATGTTGGGGGTACAATGTTGGGTCTAGTACAATGTTGGGTCTGGTACAATGTTGGATCTGGTACAATGTTGGGTGGTGCAATACAATGCTGGGTCTGGTACAATGTTGGGTCTGGTACAATGTTGGATCTGGGTTGGGTCTGGTGCAATGTTGGGTCTGGTACAATGCTGGGTCTGGTACAATGTTGGGTCTGGTATAATGTTGGGTCTGGTAATATGTTGGGTCTGGTACAATGTTGGGTCTAGTACAATGTTGGGTCTGGTACAATGTTGGGTCTGATACAATGTTGGGTCTGGTACAATGCTGGGTTCTGGTACAATGTTGGGTCTGGTACAATGTTGGGTCTGGTACAATGTTGGGGGTCTGGTACAATGTTGGGTCTGGTACAATGTTGGGTCTGGTACAATGTTGGGTCTGGTACAATGCCGACGAGCCTGTCAGTAGTGGTGTATGGAGGCGAGAGGTCGACCCGAGTACAGAGGAGTTCCGGCTACCACGAACAGCATACTCAAGGGATGGGGTTAAACTTAAGTCGCCCCTGAACTGGGATCCGGTTAACTCTGGTCTGCTGGCCGCCGCGAGTCCCCACGACTGGACAAGTCAGATGATATATGTCCTCTAGGAGTCTAGAGGACAAGGACTGTAGAACACTGATGATAACGTCTCTCACGCCCAGCCCTTGACGTGGGTAGAGTAGAGTCCTCCTAAATAACATATCAACATATAATATTTCGCTAAAATTCCTACAATATTAATAACACCCGGCATATTAACATAACACCTCAACATAGACGTGTACCCTAAACCAACAAAACCTAAGAAAATAACAACAGAATATTATATAGACAAATCAGTAATAAAAGAGAATGGTTCTCTTACCGATGCGCTATGGCTGAAGGAAGGAAGTCATGTGACCACTCCACTCACCCTCCCAGTGCTCATCACCTCTGTTCCGGGTTGAGTAACCCAACACTTTGACTAGTCACAAGCAAACAACCCCAAACTACACCTATCACCAATTTCCCCCACAGCTTACTGCTATATAAGCTCAGACTCACTGGCCCCTAATTGGCTGAACATTCCCGCCAGGCTCTGGGAGTGGCCAACTGACTGGCTAGTATGGGTTTTATTCAATTGATAGAGTTGTGTACTTGTGTCTTGGCGAATATTTAACATTATTATTATGATAACCATTACCATTCCCTCACACCCACTCATCTTCTCCTCCTCCTCATACACTCTTCCCGGCATAAACTAACCTCACTCTCCCTCTCCTTCTCATCCTTCTTCAGGTGGATTTCGGTCACGTCACCATCCCTGAGAACCTGGACCCACCACGCAAGAGAGTCCTGCCAGAATTCCAGCGCCTTGCCCACGGCCTCCGCTCAGGGAACATCACTATCCTCGACGCCCGCACCTTCTACATCCCCAACCTCCACTACGATGGCCTTGGCCCTGATGCCTACTTTTGGGTTGGCAAGGGTCCCAAGCCTGATCCCAAGGGCCATAAGATCCCTAATGAGATGGGCAGGTGAGTTATGGGCAGAGGCAGAGGTGGGTAGGTAAGTGTCTTTGGGTACGGGGAAGAGGGAGGTGTGTGCCTGTATGGGGAGGTGTGTTAGGGCAGGGAGAGTGTGTTAGGGCATGAAGAGGTGTGTCAGGACATGGAGAGGTGTGGAAGGACATGAAGAGCTGTGTTAGGACATGGAGAGGTGTGTCAGGGCAGGGAGAGTGCGTTAGGGCATGGAGAATTGTGTCAGGGCAGGGAGAATGCGTTAGGGCATGGAGAGTGCGTTAAGGCATGAAAAGGTGTGTCAGGGCATGGGGAAGTGTGTCGGGGCATGGAGAGGTGTGTTAGGACATGGGGAGGTGTGTTAAGGCATAGAGAGGTGTGTTACGGCATAGGGAGGTGTGTTGAAGGATGGAGAGGTGTGTTGGGGCATGGAGGGGTGATGAGTAACTGAGTAAGAGTTAGGATGGAAGTAGAGAGGAGGTAAGAGACTAGGGAGAGAAGGAAGCAAGAAGCTAGGAGGAGGAGGAGGAGGAGGAGGAGGTGGTAAGATGGAGGAGGAGGAGGAGGAGGAGGAGGAGGTGGAAGAGGAGGAGGAGGAGGAGGTGGTAAGATGCTAAGAGGAAGAGGAGGAGGAGGAGGAGGGAGATGACTTATAGACGATAAGTTGAAAGGAAAGATAACTATCACAAAAAGAGACACACGGAGATAAACCAGCGTAGAAGAGGAGATGGGAAGGAAGGGGGATAGGAAAGAAAGGGAGGTGCGAAGGAAGAGGAGAAAGAGAGAAAATTTAAGAAGGAGACAGAAGATGGAGGAAAGAGTGTATTGATGTTTGTGGATGAGAGAAAACAGTAAATGAGGAGACGGGCAGGAGGGAGAAGTAGATGATTCTGGTGAATGGATGAAAAGCAGTAAATGGGAAGAAGAGAAAGATAAAAAAAATGGCTAAGAAAGTACACGTGAAAGCTGAATTAGATGAATAATTACAGTGGAACCTTATAACGAACCCCGATCTAATGGTTATAATCCGTTAAATGAAAGATTCATATTTAACGGAACCTCGATCTAACGGACTTCCTTCTCCGTGAAGGAAGTCCGTTATGGAGGTTTCACTGTACAGATGAAGTGGATACAACACACTGTATCCTTAAAGCCTTCAGCACACAGGGAGGCAACGTGGCCGACACTGTACTCCATCACCTCCACTTCCCCAACGGAAACGTCAGGTACCCATTTCCAGCTGGGTTGACTGGGAGTGCCCTGGAATCGAACCAGCGATCCTTACAACAGTAGTATAGCATAAAATTCGTGACAGACAGAAGTGTGTGTGTGTGTGTGTGTGTGTGTGTGTGTGTGTGTGTGTGTGTGTGTGTGTGTGTGCGTGTGTGTTGGACAAGTTCGATAAGTAGTATTTTACCTCCAGGTTTATGGGACTGTGGGCTTGCTTTGTCTGTGGTGACAAGGCAGCTTGGTTAGCTTACCTTTGCTTATCTTAGGTTTAGTTAGGTTAAGTCAGGATTGGTTAGCTTAGGTTAGATTTCGTTAGGTAAAGGTCAACTAAAGTTATCTTAGCTTCGATTAGATTTTATTAGATTTTGTTGGATTAGATCTGAGAATGTACCAAATTCATTAAATTCAGCTAAAACGCACAGCAATAACTTTGAAAATACAGTTAATACACTATGATAACGCCACCTACCTTAACTATACCCTTCCCACTCTAACCTGGCCCGTAAGCCACGCCCCTCGTCTTAGCTGCAAATAGCTGATTGGTTCCCTTGGGCATTTTCCCTCCCCTGGACTGCGCGTGTATAAATGCTTATTTATATCGACCGCTTATGATAATTTTTAAAATTTTCCAACATCGTCTCTGAACTGTTAAAACATTGAAATCATTTGCATTTTGATAGTTCAGATATTTAACATTATTATAGATAATAACAGATCTGCTTACCAATTGTGAAGACATTCAGTTTGAATTTTCTATGAACCAATCAGCTATTGAAGAAGGGCGTGGCTTTCGGGCAAGGTTAGCGTGGAAATACTATAGTTAATGCCTAACATGGAACACAAGTTAGATGACCAAGTTAAAGTAAGGAACCTTATCACCATAACTTAGTCCCCTAACTCGTGCTATAAGTGAATGGTCTTAGAAACGGGAAAGTGTTAGACTTCATCCTACTACACATCACCAACTAATCTTCACCAACTAATCTTCAACTAATCTTCAACTAATCTTCACCAACTAGTCTTCTCCAACTATTCGTCACAACTAATCTTCACCAACTTATCTTCACCAACTAGTCTTCACCAACTAATCTTCACCAAATAATCTTCTCCAACTATTCGTCACCAACTAATCTTCACCAACTAATCTTCATTAACTAATCTTCACCAACTAATCTTCACCAACTACTCTTCATCAACTAATCTTCACCAACTAATCTTCACCAACTAATCTTCATCAACTAATCTTCACCAACTAATCTTCACCAACTAATCTTCATCAACTAATCTTCACCAACTACTCTTCATCAACTAATCTTCACCAACTAATCTTCACCAACTAATCTTCATCAACTAATCTTCACCAACTACTCTTCATCAACTAATCTTCACCAACTATTCGTTACCAACAAATCTTCACCAAATAATCTTCACCAAATAATCTTCACCAAATAATCTTCACCAACAAATCTTCACCAACTAATCTTAATCTTCACCAAACTAATCTTCACCAACTATTCGTTACAACAACAAATCTTCACCAAATAATCTTCACCTAATCTTCACCAACAAATCTTCACCAACTAATCTTCACCAACAAATCTTCACCACTTCACCAACTAATCTTCACCAACTAATCTTCACCAACTAACCAACTAATCTTCACCAACTAATCTTCACCAACTAGTCTTCACCAACTAATCTTCTACAACTAATCTTCACCAACAAATCTTCATCAACTAATCTTCACCAACAAGTCTTCACCAACTAATCTTCACCAACAAATCTTCACCAACTAGTCTTCACCAACTAATCTTCACCAACTAATCTTCACCAACTAATCTTCACCAACCAGTCTTCACCAACAAATCTTCATCAACCAATCTTCACCAACAAATCTTCACCAGCTAATCTTCACCAACAAATCTTCACCAACTAGTCTTCACCAACTAATCTTCTCCAACTAATCTTCACCAACTAATCTTCACCAACTAATCTTCACCAACTAGTCTTCACCAACAAATCTTCATCAACTAATCTTCACCAACAAATCTTCACCAACTAATCTTCACCAACAAATCTTCACCAACTAATCTTCACCAACTAATCTTCACCAACTAATCTTCACCAACTAGTCTTCACCAACTAATCTTATCAACTAATCTTCCAACTAATCTTCAACAAATCTTCACCAACTAATCTTTCACCAACCAATCTTCACCAACCAATCTTCCAACCAATCTTTCACCAACAAATCTTCACCATCTAGTCTTCACCAACTAGTCTTCACCAACTAATCTTCACCAAACAGTTCACCAACAAATCTTCACCAACTAATCTTCACCAACTAATCTTCAACTAATCTTCACCAACTAGTCTTCTCCAACTATTCGTCACAACTAATCTTCACCAACTAATCTTCACCAACTAGTCTTCACCAACTCATCGTCACCAAATAATCTTCTCCAACTATTCGTCACCAACTAATCTTCACCAACTAATCTTCATTAACTAATCTTCTCCAACTATTCGTCACCAACAAATCTTCATCAACTTATCTTCACCAACTAATCTTCACCAACTAATCTTCATCAACTAATCTTCACCAACTAATCTTCACCAACTAATCTTCATCAACTAATCTTCACCAACTAATCTTCACCAACTAGTCTTCACCAACTATTCGTTACCAACAAATCTTCACCAAATAATCTTCACCAAATAATCTTCACCAAATAATCTTCACCAACAAATCTTCACCAACTAATCTTCACCAACAAATCTTCACCAACTAGTCTTCACCAACTAATCTTCACCAACTAATCTTCACCAACTAGTCTTCACCAACTAATCTTCTCCAACTAATCTTCACCAACAAGTCTTCACCAACTAATCTTCACCAACTAATCTTCACCAACTAGTCTTCACCAACTAATCTTCTACAACTAATCTTCACCAACAAATCTTCATCAACTAATCTTCACCAACAAGTCTTCACCAACTAATCTTCACCAACAAATCTTCACCAACTAGTCTTCACCAACTAATCTTCACCAACTAATCTTCACCAACTAATCTTCACCAACCAGTCTTCACCAACAAATCTTCATCAACCAATCTTCACCAACAAATCTTCACCAGCTAATCTTCACCAACAAATCTTCACCAACTAGTCTTCAACACCAACTAATCTTCACCAACTAATCTTCACCAACAAATCTTCAATTAACCAATCTTCACCAACTAATCTTCACCACCAATCTTCACTAACAAATCTTCACCAACTAATCTTCACCAACTAATCTTCACCAACTAATCTTCACAACTAATCTTCACCAACAAATCTTCACCAACTAATCTTCACCAACAATCTTCGCCAACCAATCTTCTTCAACTATCTTCACCAACTAATCTTCACCAACTAATCTTCACCAACTAATCTTCACCAACCAGTCTTCACCAACCAATCTTCACCAACAAATCTTCACCAACCAATCTTCACCAACCAATCTTCACCAACAAATCTTCACCAACTAATTTTCACCAACTAATCTTCACCAACTAATCTTCTTCACCAACAAATCTTCACCAACTAATCTTCACCAACTAATCTTCACCAACTAGTCTTCACCAACTAATCTTCTCCAACTATTCGTAATCTTCACCAACTAATCTTCACCAACTAATCTTCACCAACTAATCTTCACCAACAAATCTTCACCAACTAATCTTCACCAACAAATCTTCACCCAACTAATCTTCACCAACAAATCTTCACCAACTAATCTTCACCAACTAATCTTCACCAACTAATCTTCACCAACTAATCTTCACCAACTAATCTTCACCAACTACTCTTCACCAACTAATCTTCACCAACTAATCTTCACCAACTAATCTTCACCAACTAATCTTCACCAACTAATCTTCACCAACTAATCTTCACCAACTAATCTTCACCAACTAATCTTCACCAACTAATAATCTTCAAGAGCTGGACTGTTGAAGGGAACGTCTTAATACATCATGTGTAATATATCCTTTTGTTTAATTCACTAATGTTTATTTGCCTTCGTGTCCAAGAAGATTGTTATTTTTGCCTGTTTTACTTTCTCATATATTAGGGGGGGGGGGGCTATTCGTCAGGTGATTCCCATAAGCTTATAGTCTCTTCATTATCAAACACATAACTTTCATTACAGCCTGGATATACTGAGAACCTACGAGGGTGAGGACATTGAACTGCAGTTGCCTGAGAACTTGACGGTATACGACATTGATTACCTGGGCATCTGGTGCGTAACCTACAAGCATAACTTTGGCCACGTCCAGATCCCCCGCCCGGAGGAGTTGTGGGTCCCACCTGCACTGGGACAGACGCGCATCAAGGTAAACACACCTAGATCGTCACTTGTTTTGTTCCTACGTCTCAAAAGTAAATATATGTGTTATTATTATAGGGTAAAGCAAATAATATAGTTATGTGCTCACGTCCGACTGTTACTTCTGGGTAAACAAGATATTGTTATAATTTTTGCTTTTGTCTTACTTTAAAATTAAACAGAAACGTCGCTTTTCCTTTGTTGGTGAAAACTTAACAATGAGTGCTATTTTTATTACAGGTATACAGGACATTAATCGTTACATGCTTCTACATAGGAGTAAACTAACAAAATGAACATGACTGACGCATATTTTAGACTCCTGCACAAAACTCTAGACATTAATTTGATCGTCCTGTGTCAAAGGTAAACCAACTATTATACACCTGTTCACTGCTATTATCACGGGACAAACAAAAGAAAACAGTGACTGAACTCTTATATCTCAAACAAACAAACAAAATAGCTCCCATGTAACTATTTAGTTCACTTCTCTAGATAACAGTCCATTGTTTTTTACTTTTCACAAACGCTCATTTTTTGGCAGAGTAATTACTTATGAGACTTCATTGTCTGTTTAGTATTATGAGAAATACTACATATATACATACATACATACATTCATACATACATACATACATACATACACACATACATACATACATAATAATAATAGTAGAAGCCCCTCGAAATCGAGGATGGCCGGGCCAAGGGCCTCCCAGGCGTGAATTTGTTAAGGTGTCGAAGCTGTCGCCAGCACAACAACCACACCCCAAGTTAACGAGCTGCATGACCCAGTGTCAAGGAATAGTCCGAGAAAACCGGACAACCCGCCAACTGCAATGGCTAACCATTACCCGGAATACGATCAGCAAATCGATTAACATCCAGGTTCTAAATTACTGCTGGGTAAACAGAGGCAAATGGCGTAAATAAACTTGCCCATAGTTTCACCCTGCCCGAGGATTGAACTCGGGTCCGCTCGCTTGGGAAGCGAGGATGCTGACCATTTCACCACAGGTCGCCTGATACAAACATACATACATACATATACATACATAAATATAAACATACATACATACATACATACTACTTTGCTGTCACTCGGAATAGAGTATGACGATCATCCAGCTATGATACAATGATATGAGTTATTAAGGATGTCACCAAGGTTGGTGAGTTCTGAAATGACTAAAGAGGCCGATACGAGACCGGCAGAGTCGATCACAGCTGTGGAACATGTGGGGGGGCTACATCTAGTGCGGGAGGGGAGGCGGCAGCGTCTTTCCGGGGTGGTGCTCCTCCAAGCTTTATGGTGTGGAGTAATCGTCTCCCAGGTGAGGGGGTCGATTTGGCACTTTTTCAGGTTTGTCTTAAGACTATCCTTATTCCTTTTCATTTGCCCTCCGGCGTTACGTTTACTATTCGATAGGTTACTGTAAAGTAGCTGTTTTGGCAGTCTACTGTCGTCCATGCGGGTATTATGACCAGTTCAGCGTAGTTGTTCAAGGATAATGGTAACCTCGATGCTTCTACAGTGGGTGTCAGTAAGAACACTGGCATTTGTTCTCGTGTCTTCCCAGCTAACTCGGAGGATGGAACGTAGACTACGTTGGTGAAAATCTTCAAGTGCCTTGATGTGCCTCCTGTATGTGACCCATGTCTCGCTGCCAAAAAGCAGGGTGGGGAGGACCATTGCTCAATATACGTGTAACTTTGTAGATAATTTCAGCTCCCTACAGCTGAATACACGGTTTCGAAGTTTCCCAAAGGCTTGAGATACACATCTCATCCGATGTTGAATCTCGTCATCGATGTCCGCGGTGGTGGAGAGGTGGGAGCCGAGTTACCGAAAGTGGGTAAAATTAGAGAGGGTAGTACCGTTAAGCTGGATGGTGGAGGTGTGGCTGAACCAGGGGCAGGCTGAAAGAGAATCTGGGTCTTACGTACATTCACCTTAAGGTCGAAGTGTTCACACGCATCTGCGTAGGTGTTCAGGATCTCCTGGAGGCCGCGATCAGTGTGAGCGACAAGGGCGAGGTCGTCTGCATACTGAAGCTCAGTAATGGAAGCTGCCGACACTTTTGTTCCTGCCTGGAGTCGTATTATGTTGAAAAGACCCTTCATCTGGTACTCGATGTCTATCCTGCCGGCTAGATTGGTGCTGGCACAAGAAAGGAAGGCAGCCAAGAAAATAGAAAAGAGAGAGGGTATCAGTACACACCCTTGTTTAACCCCCGTTTGGATGGGGAAGAACTCAGACTGGGTGCCATTTTGCAGGACACTGTTCTTCATGCCATCGTGGAGTTGACTCACAATGGCGATGAATTTTGGTGGGCAGCCAAAACGGCTGAGGGTCGATCAGAGGGCTTCCCTGTTGACCGAGTCGAATGCCTTGATTAGGTCGATGAAACCCATGTACAGTTCATGACGCTGTCCTCTGCACTTTTCCTTTATCTGGCTGGCAGCAAAGATCATGTCAGTGGTGCCACGTGATGATATAAAGCCGCATTGAGATCTGGGAGGAAGTTTTCCGCCTTAGGAAGAAGCCTGTTTAGGAGGACTCGGGCGATAATCTTGTCAGCGACAGACTGCAGTGAGTTCCCGCTGTAGTTGCCACAGTCTGACAGGGCTCCCTTGTTCTTATAAATATTGACGATGGAGGAGTCTTTAAGATTGTGTGGGATTTCCTCCTTTTTCCCTATATTCTCCAGGAGAGAGTGGAGACAGTTGGTAAGCAGAGGTCTCCTGCTTTATACACCACAGTTGGGATTCCATCAGGCCCTGAGGCTTTGTTATTTTTCATCTGTTTGATGGCAGTAGCTACCTCATCCAGGGATGGATGATAACTGAGGTGGGTCAGCTCTGGATGCTGAGGGACCTGCTGGGTAGTCAGGACATCCATATCGGTGTTTCGGTTGAGCAGTGAATGGTAGTGCTCTTTCCACCACTGAAGGAGGCCTTCACTGTCTTTATAATTTTGGAGTTACCGTCGGATGAGTGGAGGGAGGCTGCGCTATAAGTGATTGGCCCATAAAATGTTTTAGTGGAATTGAAAAATTCGCACATCTTGTGCTGATCTGCAATTTTTTGTGTTTCACATGCTTTATTTTTAAACCAGTCATTGTTTAGATTGCGAAGCTCCTATTGGGCCGCCACTTTCTTCTTGCGGAAGGTATCAGCTTTGGTCCGAGACTGAGGGTTGTTCTGCCAGTTAGTTAAAGCAGCACGTTTATCACCGACGAATACATTGATTGCTGGGTCATTTTCATCAAACCAGTCCTGGTGCATTCTTATACATACATACATACATACATACATACATACATACATACATACATACATACATACATACATACATACATACATACATACATATATAGAACTGAATAAAGACGAAAGCTAAGGTGCTCCATTGTTTCCCTTTTTCCCTGTGTGATTTTATCAAGATTTATCTTATCCACATTTCCATTGTGGATCTACATGACATACATATATACATACCAATCTACACTATATCACTGTATCTCTTATGAAAACGTATGTGCATCTTTTTCTTATATTCAGTTTCACCTATTATATCCTCCTATCACATTATCTCCCACTATCTCTCATTATCTCCCACTATCTCTCATTATCTACCACTATCTCACATTATCTACCACTATCTCACAATATCTACCACTATCTCACATTATCTACCACTATCTCACATTTTCTACACCTATCTCACATTATCTACCACTATCTCACATTATCTCCCACTATCTCACATTATCTCCCACTATCTCACATTATCTACCACTATCTCACATTATCTCCCACTGTCTCACATTATCTACCACTATCTCACATTATCTACCACTATCTCACATTTTGTACACCTATCTCACATTATCTGCCACTATCTCACATTATCTACCACTATCTCACATTATCTACCACTATCTCACATTATCTCCCACTATCTCACATTATCTACCACTATCTCACATTATCTCCCACTATCTCTCATATGTACCACTATCTCACATTATCTCCCACTATCTCACATTATCTCCCACTATCTCACATTTTCTACACCTATCTCACATTATCTACCACTATCTCACATTATCTACCACTATCTAACATTTTCTACACCTATCTCACATTATCTACCACTATCTCACATTATCTACCACGATCTCACATTATAGTGATATCAGTTCAGGTGTTAGCATAACTCACCAGCAGGTGTTGACATACTCATAATAACCCATCAGCAGGTGTTGACATAACTCATCAGCAGGTGTTGACATACTCATAACCTATCAGCAGGTGTTGACTTAACTCATTAGCAGGTGTTGACATAACTCCTCAGCAGGTGTTGACATAACGGACTATATGGGAGAGGGTAGGCCCTTTGATAATATTTCGTTAGGTGTTAAACTTTTATATAACAGACTATACCGTTAGATGGAGGTTTGTTCGATTCAGGTTTTAATGTACATCACGTTAAGTAGGAACGGTCGCTCAGTTAAACCTTAAAACACGTATAAAGTTTTGGTCAAATAGGGATAACGTTTTTCTTTTTGCTGTAACTCAATGGTAATTAATTCATATTTCGTACAAATTTCCCTCTTATTAAAAACATTGTTAATTATCATATCATATAACCAAACTATGCATAAATTGGGTTAAGTTTGGTTAAGTTAGGATAGGTTACTTTGGTTAGTAAAGATGCTATTTATTCCTATTTTATATTATGATGTTCTTGATGATCGTTACTAAACATAGAACAGTTGGAATTATAGAGAAAAGCGATAAAAATTATTTTCATTTCAGAATTATTCCTAAATTGCATGACATGTATGTTGAGCTGTGACCTGATAATTGGATAGTTTTATGGAGTATTTATTGACTCCCTGTAATTGAGTTATTCATAATAGTTCTAGGGGCGGATCCAGGATTTTCAGAAGGGTGGGGGGAGTCCAAACAATGAGTGCATGTGTACTCGTCTTAAGT